GCCCGTCTCAGCAAAATCCATTATTTGGCAATTATTTAATGAGATTGAGTATGATCTGAAGAATTATGTATATCGAGGAGGGTGTCGGCCTCGGCGGATAACGCCCTTCCGAGATGTGGGTATAATTCTTCAGATCGTGTACTTGATTGAAACAACGTTTTCGCTTAAAAATTGTAAACCATGAATAATGAGGCTTCAAGGTTTTATGGGTGTACCTTTATTAGCAAAGCAAATCCAAAGATTTTACTAGAAAAGCTGACATTATTGATCCTGATTATCACCAGCTTCTCGTGCGCATGCAAATCCCAGGATTACCTTCAGTTTTAGTTATATGGTTCGTAACTCTTCCAAGAAATCTTTCAGGTATTATTTTACGATTTTTAAGCGTACTTTGGCGATGTGGCTACGCTATGAACTACAGTTGAACCTCTTCACAAAGGCCACCTTGGGGACAGAAGATAGTGGCAATTGTAGAGAGGTTTAAACAAGAGTCAATGAATGGACTGTCGCCAAAAAAAAGTGGCCATTGTAGAGAGGTGGCCGTTAGTGGAGGTTCGACTGTAGAGAGATCTCTGAAGAATCATGTGCCCAAAGGTGAAAATGTCGGCTTATCGCCATGGAAACTGGAACTGTTTGAGCCTAGGTTGAATGTATCGGTGCGGGAAGCTCGTGATAATGTTAGCTTTACTAGAAAGAGATTTGAATTTGTAAACATAATAAGCTTCTGCCCGTTAATCCGTTAGGTTTCATTGTTCATGCCTTTTAAGTGACAATGTGACAATTTTTTTAGTCAGGTGTATACGAAAGCCGAATCCAATAATTGTCTCATTGTTCATTGTAAAAAAAATCATACTTAAAAAGCAAGCTTAAAACAGAACATGCTATGGTACTGCCATAGGCACTTAAATGGCTTCTTCCTTTGCTGAACTCCTCTCTGCTTCCCCGTATCTGCTTAACAGACGATAAATTTAAACTTCGCATGAATGACTTAGAAACATATCTGCTTGCTCGAAGTTACAAAAACACTTTTCTCGAAGAACCGCAGTCTCTACGTGCTGATAATATTCCTCTGCACTAACGCGAATTGGAATTTGTATCACTTTTACTTTGTTTAATTTTTTATTCCTCAGCAAGTTCAGGATATAAACGTAGATGTTTAGTCTAGCAGATATTATTCAAATAGCAGTTGTTATCTGTCGTGCTGTACTTTGCTGCTCTTGCTATGTATCTAAGTGGTAATTCCGCCATTTCCTCCAGCTGTACAATAACAGCTAAGGTGACGAAACCTCGTGCCCGGGACTTCTCGGTTACCGTGCCTGTTTCTGTCGATAAACTGTTGACGTCGTTTTACTGGATAATGCAAACGTGTTCCAAATTTAGTCATAGCTAGCAGGTCATGAACAATTATATGGGAGACTTAAGCTAATCAGAAGCGGAGAAATATTTTGAATAAATGATAAATACATCTCGCTAAGCTTGTCAAGAGACGAGTGAAAATATCCCACGATATACTGCGCATCAAACCGTCCTTTAAGGGCTTTATTGTTCAACACGAGGAGTACAAAATAAAACTCAGTAAGTGTGAACGCCTAACCAGTCATAACGAGAAAGCGTGACAGACTAACGTGACCCCTTTGCAAGTCCAGTTTTCGCGCGCTTTGTAAAACTTTGTGGCTGATTGATCAAAATGAGAACTTGTTGGCCAACACTATTTTTGGAAGCATTCAAAAATGTTCACTGATAGTAAAGCACCGTTTTCCTCTGTAAAATTTACGCCACTTTGTTTTATTAGCCATACTTAGCTAGTGGTTGACTCTATTTTGGCGAGAGTTGGACTATCAATGTAAACCCCGTGGGGGGGGGGGAAGTGCGGGCAAGGGGTGGGGATTTGACAAATTTTAAAATTTTTCGATCAAATTCCCCAGGGTGGGAAACGAAAGGTCAATCAAAAGTGTCAAAAAAGCCCCCACCCCAGGGGAAAAAAACTAAACAGACAATGCTATAATACCATATAAAACGAATAAAAGAACATTTCAAACACGTTGTTACTACTTTTATTTACGGTTAACGGAAGCTCCATTAAATTACTGGCTGTAATTAAGTATTTTATCTCTCCACTAGCATCTCTTATCTTGAACAACAAAATCACTCCAGGAAGATTGACCGTGCTATATAATATTAATAAAACGTAAAATGCTTTATAACATCTGCTCAACATGTCGGAACAGGTCGGATCAGTGACCCATAAAAAATCCTCTGACTTTCATGGTGGAATTCGATTTCAATCGAGTTTTACAATCAGATGGGAACTTGAAGATAAAAACTTCCACAAAATA